CCCAACCACCTGGATCCAGGCTGTGGACTACACTGCAGAGCTGAGGGGCCCGATCCGGCTACGCCTGCGACAGGCCCCAGATCCAGCCTAAGAGCGGCTGGTTTCACTTGAACCAGCATGTCGGTATGGCGGTTGTATCTGGCCATGTAATTTGATACAGAATCGCTTTTGGACCCCTGCACCCCCATCAGCCATTTTTGGGATACACAGCCATACAATGTGCTGAGGTCTTTTTTCCTGCTTACGATGCGTTGGTGATGCTGCGATTGTTTTGGCGGTGGTCCTGCGGACATACGCAATCAAGTACAACGGCATGTATGCGCTATATATGGGAGGGAGGGCCGACAAACCACAGCAAGGCGTTAGTGCGGCAAGCACACGATTGAGCGCCGCCGTGCGCTCAGCCCAGAGTGATCTACCCGTGAGTGAAGGCACCTGGATTCTGGTCGCATTCTTGGCTTCTTGAAAGGGACAATGGATGAGCTGCGGGCGTCAGGCAATCTATGGTCACTTGCGTCCATTGCTAAGAGCCATCCATATCAATCGCAATCTGCGCCTCCCCCATTTCTTGTGCTGTTGCTCGCACTGCCACGCCCAACTGCCTGTGTGCCGCCTGCGGTCACGCCACATGTACAGCAGTTGTTCGGCACGACAACCACTACTCTCACCGATTTACGGCAGTGCGTGCCTCATGCCTCGTTGCTTGGGGGACATGTCAGTAAGTCCTTCCAAGCGGCAGAGACAGCGTTGTCGGCTCGTGTGCTTGCAGCAGGGCCTTTTGGACTTGAGAGGCCGAGTAATGTCACCAACCATCGCGCTCCAACATTTAGACAAACGTGCAGCCACAATTGTCTAACAGTGCAGCTGATTAAACGTCCAGAGGTCCTCCCACGTAGTAGACATTTGCAGGAGCTTGTGGGTTCCTTGCGATCCTGTGCGCGTGCTCACCCAGGCATGCAACAAACGCATTGAATGTGAAACGACCATCGGCAGGGCGCCAACCATCCGCACCACTACTCAGCTACTCAAATCAGCGTTAAACTGAAAGTTGAATTTTTCTGGCTTGTATCGAACCGCGGGAAGGTCGGGGGTCGGCCCATCTGCAAGAGGAACAGGTCAATTTCGCCCGAGAGGCCTCTCATGGCAGTAAAAAGGCGCTTGAAACTAACCTTGATAATTACTGTAAAATATAATTTTATGTATCGTCATAATAGCTTGGACGCCGCATAAGTGACGTGCACGGTCCTCTCGCCGGAGATGGCCGTCATACAGCCACATTTGACAGTGAGAAGGCGTCACACGTACCATGGCTCGATTTTTGCACCCATGTCACCGCGGAACCACCTCGCCAGCGGGAAACCCAGGCCCATCTCCTCTGGCGGGGTACTGAGCGTCAGCGAGCTCGACATCAAGGCGCAGACAGGTGAGATTTTGCGCAAGTTGTAACTGAATTCCGTGTGTTGCAGTTTGAGTGCAGCATGGGCTATGCGCGGGCGCACATATGGGCCAGGCGCACAGCTAGTGCGCGGCGTGGTGCGCGCTTCATGTTTGTTGTTGACATGGGGATATCCCGTACAATTGCCCTGTGCCGATGCCATTTTACCCTGTACTGATATGAATTCGCCCGTGCAAGGCGCACAACGGGTCCACTGCATGGTGGCCATACGGCCACGCGCGGCTTTGATCAGCGGCCAACGAGTCCCGCACCTTGCGCATCCGCCGGGGCGGCAGGTCTGACCCCGTCGACCGCCGCCGCACTGGCGCTGTCCCTTGGGGACGCCGCAGCTGCCGTCGACGCCGGCACCTTTGCGCTCCCACCTGCCCCGCGGCGGTCTCCGCCCGTCGACTGCGAGCACCAAACGCCGCAGCATAAGCGAACTCCAGGGGGAATGCCCTCGGCGGCCAAGCAATCTGCATCGCCCCAGGCCACCCACCAGGCCGCCGCGCCGCAGCAGTCGGTCGCCCTGCGGCTGCGGACGGGCGCATGCTGCCTGCCGCATCCTGGGAAGGCTTCGTATGGCGGCGAGGACGCGTTCTTCGTGAGCGCCGCCGGGGGCGGCGCGCTCGGCGTCGCCGACGGCGTCGGCGGCTGGGCCGAAAGCAATGTCAACCCCGCGGCCTACGCGCGCTCGCTGATGCGCGTCGCCTGTGCGTTCGTTGAGGGCGCGGGCGCCGAGCAGCTCGCGCGCGCGGCGGCGGACGGGGCTAAGGCGCCGGCTGCCGACAACTCGCTCAGTCATGGCAGCGGCGGCGGCGGCGGCGGCGGCGGCGGCAGCGTGGGCGGCGGGGGCAGGGCGCCGGGCGCAGGCGCCGCCGTGGCGGCGGCGGGCGCGACAAGGGCGGCGGCCGACAGCCGGGTGCGGGCAAGCGCGCACGTGCACCCGCCGTCGGCTACCAGTGCCGGCGCCGCGCCGGCGTCGGCCGCGGTGCGCGCAGGGGACTCCCTCAGGGGCGGTGGCGCCAGGCGTGCAGACCCTCTGGCCGCGCTCGAGGCTGCACATAAGCGCGCGCGGTGCGCAGGGTCCGCAACCGCATGCGTCGTGCAACTGGACCAGGCGCGGCGGCGGCTCGTAGTCGCCAACCTGGTGAGCTGCGCGAAACTCGAGCTGAAGGAGTGCGCAGCGGCAAGGAGCAGCCGGCCTGCGGACGTATGCCGGCAGATCCGCAAGGTGTTCACCAGCGAACAGCTCAAGGGCTTGCGTGGTTGAAGCACGCGTGCCAGGCGCGGAACGCGCGCTCATGCTAGGGAGCACAAGTCTTCGCAGCTTGAGCAAGCACCCCTTGCCCCTCGCTGCTACGCGCGGCGGCGGCCGCGCGCGAGCCGCAGGGGGACAGCGGTTTCATCGCGGTGCGACAGGGCCTGGTGGTGGCGCGCTCCCGGCCGCTGCAGCACTGGTTCGACTGCCCGTACCAGGTGAGCAGGGCGGGCAGGGGCGCACAGCATGTGGTCTGGCCTTGTGAGCGGAGGGTCTGCTGCCCAGCGGATTCCGAGCTGCGGGTGGGGTGGGTGGCGTCGCAAGCCGTGTGAAGTGCAGCTGTCAGGCGCTATCGCACGGCAACTCACAGAAGCGCCCCGCACGCTTTCACAACCTTCACACTGCCCCTACTCTGCGAAACCGCGCCTGTCGCCGAACGCACCCTCACAGCTCGGCGCCTTCCCCGAATTTGTCGAGGCCACGGACACGGCAGCGCACGCGGACGTGTTTGAGGTGCCGCTGCTGCCTGGCGACGTCGTCGTCGTAGGCAAGCAACCCCAAGAGTTCATATTGTGTCCTCAGCAGGGGTGTTGGCTTTGCGCCGCAGCCAGCAGGCTGCAGGATGCCTGCCGTGAGATGCCTGCCCCGCAGCTCAGCAGGGCGCCGTCACACCGGTTTGTAGAGCCTGCAGTGGGATGCGTGCTTTTGGCCTGCAAGCATGAAGGGTACCGTGCTCAGCTGAGCCCATCGGCGGCCGCAGCGACTTTTCTTGCCTTGGGGCTGCCAGGTGTTGAGAACCCCTCTGAAGTGCATGGCGGCTCACACCTCCCACCCTACCTTGGACTCCCAACCGCAGGCAGCGATGGGCTGTGGGACAACGCCTATGATGCAGACATCTTGGCGCTGCTGCCAAAGGGCCCCCGCGGGGCGCAGGTGCGGGGACGTGACGCCCTGCGACATGCACTCAGATCCAACCTCCCAGTGTGCTCGCGCTGCCGTGGTGCCTGTCTTCTGGGATGGTAAGGCGTGTCGATGCAAGCCTGGGCCGCTCGCTCCCATTGGCAGTCTGCCCTGGGTGGCATCTGGCGGGGCCGAACTGCAAATCCCTATGCAGCCAAGGCCCATTCACGATTCTTCTTGATGACCATGTGAACCCTTTGCACCAGGCTGCTGCCGAGGCGATCGCGGCCATGGCGCGGGCCCACTCGATGGACCCAGAGTTCCCATCGCCCTACACGCGCGAGGCGCTGCAGCAGGGGTGAGCAAAGTAGCACTGCGTGTTGCTGGGAGCACAGTGTGCTTTTCAGCCGTCATGACCCTCCTCGGCCAGGGGCACGCGATTGCTGTTTCGGGCGACGCACGGAAGCAGAACTGATGACTACGTGCAACGGCTTGAAGCTGTCACAGCGAGAGTGCGGGCCGCCAGCGATTGGGCCCTGGTGAAGAGCACGTGGTCACCTGCCCACGCCCCACCTGCACAGTCCTAGCTGATACAATCCTCAGATGTCGATTTTCTGTCAAGCGCCGCAAACACTCCATCCTCAAAGTTGCGCCCGCTGGTGCCCTCCTCACGCGCGCCCCGGACCCCTGCGGACCGCGGATCGCAGTTACGACCTGTCGTGGTTTGACAAGCTGAGGCGTGCGCAGTTCCGGGACGGCCGCATCCGCCTGGGCTGCCTGACGGGCGGCAAGCCGGATGATGTCACCGTGCTGGTGGCGGTCGTGGAGGACCGGCCGGCCTGGGCGTGACCTTCACACTCTGCCGACAGCATCTGTCAGCCGAGCTCTTGCGCTTGGTTGGTAGCCGATTATGCGTCATCCGCTCCACGTTGCCACAGCCTCAGTCGCTCTGACGTGAGCCGCGTGGGGCGCATCGCAAAAATTCCTCCTATCCTGTCTTGTTGGCTGCAGCTCAGGCTGCCCGCCTGCACACGCACAGCTAGCGCAGGCCATCGATTACGCCTGGAGCAAGTGGTCACGGTTGAAAAGCGTTGAGGGGAGTTTGACTCCTCTGGCAGATCAGCAGTGCGCTTAGGAGTGGCGGGAGCCCACGTGGCAGGCACAAGGGTGTGCCCAGTTGAGCGCATACAGCACAGCTGAGGTTCGCCAACGCATGTGGCCTGAACCGCGGCCTGGCACATTGTCTGCAGCGAGAGCCAGGGAACAGCGTTAGGGTGCTGATTGCCAAGTGCATGCTCATTTTGCCAACAGTTGGCTCTCGCTCCCCGATCCTCTTGCCCTCGACAATTGTAGCCCGCCCTGCTTTGGTTGCTTATCAAGCCAAGGCAACATCAGCCTTTTGTTTGTGGTGCAGGCTGCACCTTTCTCCATTTTGCCAACCGCCATGCTGACCACGACCGCCTTTGTTTGACCAACTTACCATCTCATTGAGCTCAACACATGATTGAGCCTCAAACCTACTTCAACAAACCTGAAATTGACAAGAACACACACACACATACACACCGACGCACACACACACACACACATGTTCAATAGACACCGGGCCAAGCCCTGCTTGACTTTGCAGCCTGTGTCCAACCACACAATTGCCTGTGCACCCTCTTGAGCGGGCGTGATAATGATGGGTGACGTGTGCAGGCATTAGAGATGGCAGCCCAGCAGTTGTCGAGCGCTGTGCTGTCTTCGGCTTGCGGCAATTTGCTGTGATTGCAACGCATGAGTGCAGTTGCCCTTGCATGGACACTGTGCTGTCCTTGTAAGGGCGCTCCGTCGCAAGCTGCGGAATGAGCAAGGCGCACATCGATGCATTACATGTGCACTGGTGGAGTGGACAGGCCTGTCCTCCTGTACATGTATGTCAAGACAAATGAAAGTGGTCAGGGCATGGAGGCGTGCGCGACCGCAGGCTTTGTGGCTGCATGCAACACTTTATCAAGGTCATATGAAAAGCGACGAGTCGGGGATTTGAGGGCAGCGCCCATCTGCATCGGCAGCAGCCGCCCTGCCACCTGGAAGCAGTGTGCACACTTACACCCCAGCGCTCTATGAGCGCAGCCCCCCCCCCCCGTGGGCCGGCACCATCAGACGATGTGGGGGCACAGCACCGGTTGACGAGCGCAGAAACCCGCCTGCGCTGCCGCCGGCAGGCCCTGGGCCAACGCGGGGCAGCCAGCCGGCCGCGCGGACGGCCCCAGCACCCCGCACCGGCCAAGCCCATCGCCCGCGCTCGCCGGCCGCGGGCGGCGTGCGGCCGGGCGGCCCGCGCGCCGCGTCACCGCAGCTCCTGCACAACGCCCTGCGCGTAGCTGATCGCCGCGTTGAGGTCGCTATCGAAGCCGACCCACTCGTAACCCAGCGCCGCGACCTGCCGGGCGCGCTCCTTGCCCAGGCAGAACGCGCCCGCCTTTATGCCCGCGCGGCGGCAGGCCGCGACGACGCCGGTGTAGAACCGCTCTATCTGGGGGCTGGACAGCATGCCGGGCAGGTCGTATTTCATTTCCACGTGCAGGCCGTGGGCGAAGCCCATGTCGGCAGGGCCTGTCGATTTGGTGTGCAGGAAGGTGCGGTTTAGAGTCAGGGGTGGCGGAGGGGTGGGCTTGGGCTGCGTCCCATCCAAGGCTTGTCAAGATTTTTGCACCAGCTGTCGGCAACCCCAGTGCGTGTATTGTTGAGCACCGCGTGGGACTGCGCGTGTTCATGTTGGATATTGCATGTGTGAATCCACTGATGCAGCCGGCAAACAGGGTTGCTGCCACAAGAATGCAGCAGAGGACCGTGCTTGTTGATACGGTCGAAACATACTAGCCCAGCACGATACAGCCTACCCTGACCTGCCCGCTTCCGCTGCCCCTCCCCCCGCACCACACGCCCTTCTCGGCGCCTCCACCGCGCAACCCACCGAGGAAGGCGCAGGCCACCCCTGGCACGGACACGATGTCGTCAATGGATTCGAAGCTCTCCTTGGTCTCAATCTGCACCCACACCTACGCACGTAGAGTGGGCAAACACATGCCAGCCGTTGCAACTTAGAGCGTGGGATGCACCAGCCTGGAAAACAAACACCCTGGCCCTGCATAACTGACGCTCAATGCAGCACGCACGCTGCTTTCCGGCGGCTCCTGAATTCATCCATCGACGCCTGCACCACAAACGCGCGGGCGGGTCGCCCCTGCCGCCTCGCACCCACGTTGGTGTCCACTCCCATTTGCCCCTGATCCCCCTCCAAGCATGCGCCGGCAACACACCGCCCAACCTCAAACCTCCCCCTCCCGCCATCTCAGTTACCCCGGCAGCCCCGCCGGCGACCGGGGCCCCCGACACGCGTGCAGGGCGCAGGCGCGCGCTCACCTCTGTCTCATCGTTCGCGTCTTCAAGGTATCGCGCCAGGGCAGGCACCCCCACCCCCTTGCGGTACACCGCACGCACGGGGTAAGCCACGCTGCGCTGCCCGGCTGGGGGATACTTGCAGTATGACACCGCGCGCTCTGGCGGGGGCCGGGCGAGCGGCCGCGGCGGGAGGGACACGGGTGAGCGGGGCAGGGCGGGGAGCGGAGCGAGCGTGCGCGTGTTGGAACGGGGCGTCTTCTGGCTGTGGCGTGGAGTACAATGCTGTTTTGAGAGTGGCCTGGGCTGGCCTCGGGGCTTGAAATCGGCCGTCATGCCCACAACAGTGGGCGCGTGCCAAGAATGATCACAGTGGTTTCCTTTGGGTGGGAGGTGGAGGGTCACGAAAGGACCAAGCCCAGATGGTAGGGCGTCGCCCGCAATACCCCCGCCCACCTGCATCTGCACGCGTGTACACGAGGGGAATCATCACCCCGTCTGCCCCCAGGCTGGCAGGGCCGGCGCCGGTGGCGTTGTCGTTGGCGGGTAAACGGGGGCGACGGGATTGTTTGACCACAGGGAATCAGGAGGTGGGCAGGCGTCTCACAACCAAGAGAGTCTGATTGTGTGTGATTGAGGGTGCCTCGACATGGGCAGGAGCTGCAGATTATTAGGAATTGTGAATTGATGTGATTAAGACTCACTCAAGTGCCTGCTGGATGCCGAATCGGTCATCGGGGCCGCCGACGCGCACGATGCGCTTGGCCGGGGTGCCGCTGGTGGCGGCCAGCATGTCGTGCAGAACGTTGTAGGACACCGCGCCATGCTGCGCGTCGACGCAGATCCAGTCAAGGCCTGAAACGGCGAACGCCTCTGCGATCGCCGGGCTGCCGCTGCACACGAAAATGCCTAAGCCTGCGCCGGCCCCAGTGGTGGTTGCGTCGCGCCCTTGGCCGCGGGCCGCCGCACGTTGCCGGGGGACCAAGGCTGGAGTGAGAGAAGTGTATGTCCGATGTCCACTTTGCATCGCGCATTGGCCACGGTCCAGCCTACACTGTGCGGAGATCATTGCGTAAGTGTGATCTGATGCAGTGACGCGACAGTGATATTCCCATCAATTAGGCCGGGATGCTCCACAACTCTGATACATGCTTGCTGTCCTGTTTCTTACATACACTCCCTAAATGATGATAATCGGCTGATGCAGACGTGCTGCAGACGAAGCCGTGCGCTTTCTGCATGTGCAAAAGTTTCTGAAATAGCTTCTTTGGATGCGGTGCTTGGTCGTGTTCCTCGCAGTGGTTGACCGCGGGTCAAACGAGCCGCGCGCAGCGCCCGCGGGCGCTGGCGCAGACGAGCAAACCTCGCGATGGCGCAGCAGCAGGAGCCTGCCACGATCGACCTGACGTCCACTCAGTATGTCATTCTTGCGGAGTAAGTGCGGCACCTGTGCGGCTCCCCTTGCGCCCGCCGCGCGGCGGGGCAGCGGGGTGGCTCCCACAGCATCGGACCAGCGAGTGATTCCAGGCCGCCACATGCAAGCACGCACCACGCGCTGCTCGCGGGCTTACAACCATCCCTGCACTTGCAGCTTACAGGCTGGCAAACATAGCTTTGGACGCCCCCCTCCCCCCGCAGGAACCAGCGCAAGAAAAAGGCCCTGATTGAGACCAAAGTGCGATGCAACCAGCTGGCAGACGAGAACGCGGCGCTGCTGCGCCGCCTGGATGAGCAGCAGCGCGAAAGCTACGTCGTGGCGGAGCACTTCAGGTCCGAGGTCCTGGCCAAAAACGCGCAGATCGCGCAGCTGCAGGTGCGCTGTGCGCGGCGCGCAATTGCGGCGCACATGCGCGCGAGGCTGGACTTGGTTGTCTCAGCGCCTGCAGGCCTGCTGCCTTGGATGCTGTGTGAATGCAGCAACTTGAAGTTCTGACCCCGGCAAGCTTGAACACTCTTGGAAGGTGACACCCTGGCTCTCACTACGGGGCATGACAGCAGAGGGGGATGACTCGTGAGTAGCTGCGGTCACCCACAAGTGCGGCGCCATCAAACAACCCAATGGCACCACCGCAGGCCGACCTGGAGGCATCCAGGCGAGAAGCCGCGCTCCACGCGGCGCGGCTACAGGAGCAGGCCGCCGCGCGCGAGGCGCAGCTGCAGCGCGACGCGGAGGCGGCGGCGCAGGAGCTGTATGCACGGACAGACGCGCTGCAAGCTGAGCTGGACGGCGTCGCTGATTTCAAGCAGCGGCAGGTCTGGCCTGTGGGAGAGGACGCTGGCCCCCATCCTATTTAGCTACGGGCTGCTTGGGCAACGCGGGGTGGCAGCCGGCGGGCAGGGCAGCGAGGCCTCCCGGGAGCGCAGGGCAGCTGCTGAATGACCGGGAATTCAAGGCACGAAACGCACTTAATCCATGACTATGGTGGTTGCATGCTCATCAAGGCGCCGATCCTTCTTGGTGCGGCCGTTGTGCAAGCATATTGTAGGTGGAGAATGAGGGCGTGGTGGCCTCCTTGCGGGAGGAGAGCCAGGGGCTGCGGGAGGCGCTGGCGGCGCAAAAGACCGAGCTTGAGCGGTGCGCGGACGTTCGCGCGTGACCATGTGCTCAGACCCGCCAGGCCGTGCGCAGGTGGTGTGCGCTGGTGGCAGTGGCAGAGGTGGCGGTGGTGGCGGTTGCGGCGACGGTGGTGCTGTCGCTGCCGCTGCCGCCGCCGCTGCCGGTGCCCCTGCCACTGCCGCTGCCGCCGCCGCCGCTGCTGCTGCTGCTGCTGCTGCTGCTGCTGCTGCTGCTGCTGCTGCTGCTGCTGCTGCTGCTGCTGCTGCTGCTGCTGCTGCTGCTACCGCCATCGCCGGGGCCATCATCGCTGCTGCTGCACCGGCTGCTGCTGCCGACAGCTGCTGGCTGGTCCCTTGCTCAGCTCGTCTTCAACACCACATCCTTTGCATTTATTTGTTGTGTCAACCCCACCCACCTATCCACCAATCCTGCCAACCCCCCCACCGCACCAACCCACCCGCTGAATTCCCCAGATATTACGCCGGCCAGAACGCCAAGATGCGAAAGGAGTACGAGCAGCGGCTAGAGGAGCTGAAGCACGCACAGGTGGGCTCAGGGGCCAAGCCAGGACTGGCTGGGTCAATGTCAATTAGAGCTCCTGGTCAGGCGCTGCGCGCATCGATCTTGCGACAGGTCACAGCCGCGCAGGCATACATGGCCGCTGTTGTTGCCTCAAGGTCGCGCCCTCCCCATGTGGCGTGCTTGCTACATGCACACGGGTCAGGGGCGAGCCCCCAGTGCCCCCAGGGGCGTTACTGATTGGCTTCACGCCGTGAACTTCGTACCTCCGCCAGGACGAGGAGCTTGAGGAGCGGCTGGACGCGTCTGTGAAGCGCATCCTGTCGCACAACAGGCACCTGGCGGAGGAGCTGCGGCTACACGTGCAGGCGAGCGCGTGTGGCGCGGACAATGGAGGGGGTTGCTCACCTGACCCCCTCTCTCACGCCGACCGCTGCCTGGGCTACGCGCGTGAAACGCAGGCCACGAGCGCAGCAGGGCAGGCCTGCATAGACGCCGCGACGCGTGACGAGGCGCATGCTGGCTCGCTGCTGTACAGACGTGCGCATGCCGCCGCTGCGTCTCCACCCCCATCGATCCTGCCGACCCAGTTGAAACACAACTCTGCTTCAAAGCCCTATCCCATGAGTCTGGATGGCTCCAGAAGCGGGCAGTCTTGGGACACTGTGACAATTATTATCCTCATCCTCATTCTAATTGTGCCCCCAGGAGTCTGACGTCCTGCAGTCCGAGGTGCGCCTGCTGGAATCGGAGCGCTGCCGCATGCTGCGGGAGCTGGTCCTCAAAGCCGAGCTGGAGGAGGGCTTCGCGCGGCGCGGTGCGGCGCAGGGCGCGGCGCTGAAGCACTCGCAGGTGCGGGGGGCCTAGGTGGATCCGAGGCAGCGGCCCTTGATGGGCAAGGTCCAGCCGACCGAGCCCCCCCCCCCCCTTGGGTTTGCTAGCATAGCGACATGTGCAGGGCCGATGGATCAGAATGGGAAGGGCCGTGTGCAGGCATCTGCGCGCATGGTCTTTGGCTGAGGATTGAGCTTTGAGGAAACGAGACGCTCTGCGTGCGCCCCCGCCTTGCCGCGACCGCCTCCAGGGCCGCGTGGCGGCGCTGGAGGGAGGCATGGCCCAGCTTCTGGCCGACTTCCAGCGCGAAAAGAGCGCCGTCATCCGGCAGGCAGAGGCTCAGGTGGGAGCCCCGGCCAGCACATGCAGCCCCCAGCGTTTGCTCGACAGCGGGTGCTGCTTGCGAATTGCCATCGACGGGTGTTGTTTGCGCACCGCCACGGACGGCGCAGCGCAGGATCGTTGCTGCTGAGTGCTGTCGCCCAAGGTGGTCTTTAAACCTGATGGTGCAAGATAACGTTTCATCCGTGAGGACTGAACGGTCACGAATTGGCGGTGAGGCATGGGACCATGACGACTGAGGGCACTGCTGATCGTGGTGTTGGCTGCGGCACGCACAGGTGGAGGAGGCGCGCGACGAGGCGGAGGCGCTGCGGCGGCTGCTGCGCCTCAAGGCGCGCGAGCTGAAGACGCTGCGGCGGCTGGGGCAGGAGGCGCTGCTGCAGCGCAGCGAGGTGGAGATCTTCCTTGTGTCCAGCCTGCACCAGGCGAGTGCAGGGATGTGGGCGGTTGAAAAGGGATTTGTTGCGCAAGGCCAACCTGGGTATGGGATCGAGCTAATGTTCCAGAGGGTGGCGGCTGTCTGCACAGCAGTGTGATTGGAGCGGGCAGACGACTGCCCAGGAGTGGGAAGGCAAGTGCTTGAGTGGCCTTGGTTGACCTGACAGTGTTCATGCACGTGCTGATCCCAGGTTCGTAAAGAGTTGGAGCTGGAGCTGGAGCAGCAGCAGCAGCAGCAGCAGCAGCAGCAGCAGCAGCAGCAGCAGCAGCAGCAGCAGCAGCAGCAGCAGCAGCAGCAGCAGCAGCAGCAGCAGCACCAGCACCAGCACCAGCAGCAGCAGCACCACCACCATCACCACGAGCACCAGCAACAGCAGGCGCAGGAGCAGCATCAGGAGCAGGAGTTTCACACAGCTGGAAAAGGCACCAGTGATTTCCAAGGCGGCACGACCCCAGTCCCCAGCAGCAGTAGCGAAGGCAGCGGAGACGCCAACATGAGGCGAAATGGCGAAGTGGGCGGCTTGGCGGCAGCAGAGGGGGCGGAAACAGCGGCGGCAGCGGCGGTGGCGGGTGCAGATGGGGTGGTGGCTGTGATGGACGTGGCAGAGCTGACATGGCCGCAGAGGGAGAAAGTCCTGCGTCTGCTCTTCACACGCATCATGGCGCAGAATGCGCAGGCGGCACATGGCATGGGCATCAGCCCGCCGTAGCCACTGGCGGGG